CAGCGAGCGCTGGCTTTGCGGTGGGGTGGGAGCAGCCTTACGGAGGGTACGTTATGCCAGAACGAGCAATGCCGCCTGACGATAGCTGACCAAAGCTCTGAATAGCCGGCTTCCTGAAATCAGAAATGTGTCATCTTCCTCGTAAGGAAACCTGCTGAAAATCACTGTAAGATAAGTGTAAAAACTTGTAGAGAATGTTTTCTAATCGCTGACAAGCTAAAAGCACTTTGAGACTTTTGTCTACTTTTATGGAAAGCACTTTCTATGTTCAGTACTATATCATCAGTCCCACTCCAGCTGGTCCTGTGCTCCTCGCACGTGTGTGTGTGCAGGTACACAGATTTTGCTCTACAATTCAACTCCAAATCCAGTGATAAATTCTTCTTCACGGTGGAATTTTCAAGAGAGTTATCTTGATACTACTGTCATGACATTGTTGTTCTATATTTTATGTTATTTCCAAGTTTACCTATTAATTTAACAGCTGTTTCAAATATTGCAGCACCTTCAAAGTATTCTGAACTTTACTTTGCTGTGAATAAAATGGAAACGCAAATACCATAATCAGTCTAATAGCTCATTCAAAGGGCATTTTTGTGCCATTAAGTCCCAGTGACTTGGAAGATTTCCAGACATGCTCACCCCACCCAGTATGGAAACAACACATCTTAAATATCTGGGTGTTGGTTTTTAAAAAAATGTTTATGGAGAAAAGTGACTGTGGGGTAACTAGCTGGGTATTTAAGCGTGCCATGTCATGTGGAATAGTCTCTCCCCTGCTAAGACATGGAAGTTCCTCCACGTGAGGAGCATCCTAAAGATTCCCATTTCTCTAAGGAAGTAAAGCTGTCATCGTGTTTGAGTGGCTTCAGGGTCACATTTTAGTATTGATGAAGTTTCACCAGTTTAAAGTGAAACAAGAGAAGGAAGCCTCTCTGATAATATTAAACCTAGCTGCTTTATTTCCTGATGCTTTTTTCAAAAATAATAAGTTATTGCTGCAAACTAATTCTCAAAAGCAGTTTAAATTTGAAGGCTTGTTGGGAGAATTTGACCTTCAGGATTGACTTTGCCCAGAAATGGGGTGTGCGTGTGCAGTTTCCCCCCTCAAGAATTCTCCTAAATTTGAGCGCATCCCCAAGTTTTTTTGGTTGGGGTTTTGTGGTTTTTTTGTGGTTTTTCTTTTGAGCAAAATGTGAAACTCCAATGGTGTCACTTGCTTTGAATTTCGCATTTACTATTTCACCCAGACATGCAATCCGTATGCAGTTGTAACTTGGTGTTATATAGTATGGAGTGTCTTGTTTCTAGCAGATGTGTATTTGTTTATATTAAATATTAGAAGCATGATAATCCAAGCTTTATGAAGCAGCTATTATTTTTTCAAACAACACCTGTTCTGGGAATGCATCGTGGACTGAGCTGCAGCTGGATCAGGTAGGACTCTGCTCACAGCTGGAAAACTTGTTAGCACGAATGTTCTGAGCAGTGGAACTATTCTTTAGACACTTGGGGCTACCCCTGCTGCTTTTGAATGCATGAAGCAAAATTCTAGTATTTCAGTTACAACTAGACATTCCTGCAACTGGGAACGGTTTGTGTCACAAAGAAACCACTGTCAGAGCTGCTGGCAGCCAGAGCACTTGGGGAGAAAGAGAAATCCCTAAGGAAGAGCCAGGCTGCAGAAGAGCTCCCTCTTCCTCGGTCGGGTAACTGGCAGGACAGCGAGTAGATCAACTCTGCTCAGATTCTTGTTCCTGCTCCTTCTCCCAGCTGTTTCACTGTGTGAATTTAGCAATAGAGGGGGAAGGAACCAAGGGGTAGTAACGGAGCAAAGCAACCTTATAGCCCGGTCTTAGCGCTGAAAGCAATCTTGAAGCCTGACAGTGGAGTTCTTCCCACTGCAACCCCCTCTAGCTCTGTTTGGGTCACTGAAGTGATGCAACTTAAATTATCCCTCGGAAGTACCTGCTAATGTCATATAACTGATAGCCTTACTTGTAAACTGTTGAACAAATCTCTTATTTATGAGTGCCACTGAACACCAACCTTCTTGCATTAAATATGTCTGGATGTATTGTTTTATTACATGTGTGGTCTGACTTTTTTTAGTATTGGTTAAGCGGTCTGTCTTCTCCAAGTTCAAGATCTTTGCAAGTAAAATTAAAAGGAGAGGAAAGCAGCTCAGACCTTGGCAACAGTCTGAACTTCACCTTGCCCAGGGCTTGGTCCAATTTCTATTAACCAGTTGTTGATATAAACCCTGTGGCAACTGAGTGTTTTTTAGAAGCCCGATCAAGGAATGAATGGGCAGCTGGCCCAAACTGCCCCATCCCTCTAGAAACCTCCCTCGCATCCAGCTGGTTAGGCAGGCTGGCAAAGGAGCTTGTGCAGTTCAGCCTGTGCTTCTTCTATAAATAGTTCTTGGTTTTGAGCTTTTCATTAGTAATGAAACTTGCATACTTATTTGCAAGTCCTGACTAGAATGTTGTGCTTAAAACTGCAAACGCGGTGTGAGCAAAGCAAGCAGCAACATAAAAGGTAGGCTCATCTTCAGAGTGGCTTATTGTCTCCACTCCTCAAAATGATATTTATTTGCATTCTCATCTCTTTAATCCAGCTACAGAACCAGGTTCTCCGTGAGGGAAGTGTGCAGGGTGCATCGTGAAGCTTTTACTCCAGCCACAATGTATTTATAGAAGTGTCCCCGAACCTGAACGGCATGTTAAGTAGTCCAGCCTGTGAGCGTACCACAAACCCCAGAGAATTTCCAATCCCTTGGCAGATAGCTACAGCCAGCAAGCACTGATGTGGTACTGCCAGCGTTCCTGCCACGCTGCCGGCGCGCTGGCATGGGTACTTCATACAGCCTCGTTAGCAACGGCACAACCCACCAGGAGCCGAGCTAATACCATACAAATGGCTCCTAGCTAAACTGCCACTCTTCTGTGCTTCTCTTATGGTGAAAAAAAGAAGCACACACTCATCTTTAAAGATATATGCAAACTTTTTTTTTTTGGGTGGAGGGATGCTACCTTGGTGCTTGCCAAGCTGGCAGCTGCTGCCCTCCTCTGGCAGAACGTAAAGCTTCACCCAAAGATTTCCCAGATGCTGAGGTTTTGTTTTTTTTTTGGTTTTTTTTTTTTTTTTGTGCTGCCACCCCAGAAATCTTTAAACAATTGTAAAAAAAAAAAAAAAAAAACCCAAAACCAAAATATATCAGCAAAGACCTGTTGTCCATGTAGGCTTCACCTTCCCCCACTGTGCTTTTTGCCATGGATCGTTGTGTTTTGCTCACAGGGTGGCCATGTGAGGAACCTAATACGTGGTTTAATACTTGACATTTGAAACTTTCCTTTTTAGCTACGCACAATGGAAACCCTACTTCAGGTTTTGGAAAGAAAAGGTTCCTGAAAACAAGCAGGACTTACAGCCTGCCTCGTGCTAGCGCTGGAGTCATGGTACCCTAGCACTGAACAGCAAGATGGTGCGCATTGATTTAAGAACTGTTTTAATTTCAGGGACTGAAACCACAACTTCACTTGCACTGTGTGAAGATCTCAGCTGGCTCTTCAGTACTACAGAAGTGGCCCAGTGAAACTTAGGCCCGGTTACAAATGGAACTAGGATTTATTTAAAAAAACCTGTCTTCTGCTTTTTCCAAGGCGCATCTTTCACAAACAGCACAAGACCTGTTTCAGTTTTCATACACCACCAGAGGTCTGTAACAGGTAAGTTTTTTGGTTGTTCGAGGAAACTCGTCAGTTTTCATAGTCATTTACCTTCTTGTCATACACTGCTCTAGATCAAGAACTTTGCTCTGTAAACACCTGTATGACATGGGAATTAGAAAAGCAGCAAAAAAGGCTTAAAAAGAGTATGAGAAAAGTCCAGAGCCTGGGAAACCTTAGTCTGCCTCAAAATTAATTGTGGGCTCTGCATAATTTCTATCAACTAAAACCAAAGTTTATGCACAGATAAGCCCACTGGAAGTGGCGCACGTGTCAGTGTTGCTATCATGCTACAGAACCAGGAGTAGCTTTCATTGCAATAGGATTTTTGGTTGCATTAGTCAGGACCTGCTTTATTCTGCCTGGGAAATATGAGGCCAGACCAAGCCATAGCTAGAGCAGCCGCAATGCATGCACAGCAATTATTTTTTTCAGTTAAATATGTTCCAGGGCAACAGTTTAGTCTGAAAAGTACGTGGTATATTACAAAAAACACCTCTCAGGATTATGTGGAGTCTGTTTTAGGGATTATTGGAGGACTTGGTCCCCTCAGTCTCCGGCACAAAAAGTCACTCAGCATGGGTGCATAGGGAGTCTCATTTATCACTAAGCAGAGTCTGTTTATAGGAGCAAGCAAATGAAAACTGAAGTCCTTAGTCCAGTTTTTCCCTTACACAAACGTCTGTTCACAGGTCTGATCTTTGAACAAGTTGTCTTCAGCACAGAGGAGGTGAAACACGGTGTCAAACAGCACAGCACTGCTGATTCCTCCTGGCTTTCAGCTTGCTCCAGGAACAGCCCCTTGGAGCTGGCCTCAGCTGCAGCCAGCGGTGAGCATCGCAGGTCCCAGTATGTCACCACGCGTCATGCACTGTCACAAAGGTGTTTAATTACAGGGAACAGCTGGGATCCTGACCATTCACACCAATACCCCTCAAGGGAGCGGAACTGCATGAACAGTGCTCACCACAGCATCCGCACCAGCAGACAGTGAAGCCCAACGCTCTGACCCACGTGCTGCATCAAGGCCAGCAGTGGAACCCTTCTAGTCTTTAAATGCTACCCTGCCTTTCCATCCTGTTGGAAGAACTGATTTAGTTGTCAAAGAACTTTACTCAGGGGTGAGACTCTCACACCCAGCTAACAAGAGGGGTTTTTTTAACCTCCCCAAAAGAATGTTTCTACCAATTCCACAGATGGTTTAGAGAACCTGAGGGAGGAACTGAGTCTCTTTAATTATACCTAATCCCCTGTCGCTCCATGTCTCCTCTGTGCCTGAAGTCAATTTTTTTCAGAGTAAAATACCAAAGCCTTATCACAGGTGAAGCCAGCTCCTGAGGAGAGGGTAAAGCCTGGTTTGTTACTAACTTATGCCTAATACAAAATTACTACAGGAACCGTCTTAGTCAGAAGCTTCAAGGCAGAGAACAGACCATACCCACCCCGGTTCACACATACCTCTGACTTCACCAGAATCAAATGTCAGAAAGGAATTTGGACCGTGAGTTTATAAAACTATTCTTTTACACAGTTGACTCCAGAAGCTTCACCAGTTGGAGTGGGGATAGTGTGATGTAAAACCTGATGATCCCATCCAACTGTCGTGAGCAAGGCATCGTCTGAAGGAGACCACGATAAGCCTTTCACAAAGTCTCGATGAGAACAGTTTCTGAACCTGGAAAACACGAACAGTCCATTAGCCATAAAGCACTGTCACTAGCAGTTTATAAGCTTGTGCGATTCCTAATTGCTAGTTAGGATGATGCTCCCCTATTTAAGGAGTGTTTTCATCTTCTCATTTCTACTCAGTATATGGATAATTAACTTAAAAGAGAAGTCAACAAGACAAAGAGCTACAGTAGTGAATACATTGTCTAGTACTTACACCTCTGAGAGGTCTGAGTCAAGAACAGCTACGGAACAGTCTTCACTGATTGAAGCCAGTAAAGGTGAACTAGAGGACAGAGATGAGGCCAGGGTTAGAACAATCAAACAAAAAAATGCTTCTTAGGGATAAACATGTGAAAAGCACGTGTCTTAGTGAGCCTGACCCAGGTACAGTGAATTAACACGCTACAAAAATTTTTTCATCATAATTTGGCAGGTTAGCAGCACAGTAAGCGAGTCTATTCTACTAGCATCAGAAAGCGAGCAATCCTTCTTCAAACAGAGGTGACTGTAAGGACAATCCCCACAGTGAGGGGGTCAGCAATTCTGAATACTGCAGAAGTGTTCTCATGTATATTCACACACTTCTTGTCGAAAGTGAGACATTGTTTGGTTTAATCTATTCTTCACTACAGATTTTCTTGATAAAAAGATCAAAACTAGCACTCTCGTAGGTTTTACTCTAAAAACAAATAAAGCTTTCAAGGATGTGTAGTCACTATGCCAGTGTATCAGACTGTACCTATGTGTAGAAAATGCAAATCCCGTGATACTTCGGACATGCACAGCAGAGCTGAGGGAAGAATCAGGATTCTTTGTGTCTACTAGTGCAACTGTTCCATTTTCATCACCTTGAAGAGAGGAAGGGAGAATGAGGTTATTAGCAAAATTGTCATGTGAAAAGAAAAACCTTGATTTGTCTGGTTAAAGCCAAATAATAAGGTCACTTCTTACCCAAAGCAAAGATGTCACTTTTCTGTGGATGCCACATGACTGAGGTAGGGAGGTGATTACAGGCACTGCAAACTGTGTGAAAACGGGGATGAACGGGAAGAGTCAGTACAAAGATGTTCCTGCAGTCTCTCAGCACTTCTACTGCACTAAGACAAATATTTAAAAGCTTATTATACTTCTGCAATAGGGTTAGACTTCCTTCGGTTTTAATAGGCTTCTCTGCCCGAACAGTCAGATTGATAGGTTTGAAGTTAGACATAGTGAAGTCAGGCATAAAATAATTTACTTCTTCCAACAAAAACTCATACACAAGCAGTGACGGCATACAGAAACATACCAATTCGAGTAGCTGGTTTGGGGCATCTGGTGTCCCAGAGTAAAGTTCTGTTGTCCTATAAATCCAAAGTAAATGAGAAAGATTTTCACAATTCCTCTGTAGCAGGGTGTTCACATAAACACAGACTCACTGCAGAACTGCTCCTAACCCACATTCAAACCCACACCACCTCTTCCTGTGTGTTAAAACGATGCTGCCATGAACTGCAAGTTAGCTCCTTCCGTCATCCCCAGGACAGACCTAGGAACTCCCGATTTCAACACAAACCTGTAGAAATCAGCTTAGTAAGCTCATTGGCAACTTATCAGACTGAAACGCTGAAATAACACAAGTATGCAGATTGTAATGCAATAGGTGGTTTCTCATTAAGTGCACTTAATTGTAAATAACTAAAGCGAAATCTCATTTATACTGAGTAGATTTAGACAGAGAGTGAGCTTTACCTCAGCACAGGACAGGAACACAGTGTCCTTACCAGGACAGGAAGCCACACATGTCACTGAACCGGAGTGAGCTACCAAAAGCACAAAAAGATAAAGAGCCTCAAAGATTGTATCCAACTTTCCCGCATATTCCCAAGGACCTCTGAAGGCACAGCAGCATAATAAAAAAATAGTTTACGTCTAGATACAGGGTAACTTCTACTCAGCACCAGCCAACTGCTTCCTCCCAAACTGATGAGCTGCCAAATCCACCCAGCGCCAGGGCAGTCAAACCCCTGGAACATCCATAAGCTTGAGGAAGCCTGTCCAGGCAGGAGGCCAGTTACAAAGGGCTGCGGGGGAGAGGATCAAACAAAATACAGCCCCTGCTGCACCTAGAGATCACAACGCTGCATCTCCAGAGATCGGCACCTCCAATGAGCCGTGGCTCAAAACAAATAGGGGTCAGGAGATCGCAGGATTGCGTGCAGGCAGAAGAAACATTTCAGTGCAGAAAAAATTGCCATGCAAGCCAATCTGAGCCTTGAAAGCCAATCTGAGCCTTAGAGCATTGCTTTTGTGGGGAAAAACGAACAACAGAGACGTGATGGTGCAGGACGCAGCCCAGCCCGCAGCCCCGGCCAGGCCAGTGTGGCACTCACCTCTGTAGGAGTGCAGCACCGTCTGCTGGGGCAGGTCCCAGACCTTCACGCTGTGGGCGAGAGCCAGGGGTCAGCACCCAGCACCCACGCCTGCGGGGGGCCAGCACCCAGCATC